GAGCAAAGGAGGCTCAGGGGAGCCCTTCTGGCTCTGCACAGCTCCTGACAGGAGCCTGGAGCCAGGGGGGGGTCGGGCTCTGCTCCCAAGGGACAGGGCACAAGAAAAGGGCCTCAAGTTGCCCTAGGGGAGGTTGAGGTTGCCCCTGAGGAACAATTTCTTTACCTCAGGGGTCATGGAGGCCTGTGCCAGGCTGCCCAGGCCAGTGGTGGAGTCCCCACCCCTGGAGGGGTTTCCAAGCTGTGGAGATGTGGGGTGAGGGACACGGGGCAGTGGGGACCTGGCAGTGCTGGGGGAAGGGTTGGACTGGATGATCTTCAAGGTCTCCTCCAACCAGGACTCCTCTAGGATTCTACCATTCTGAACAGTCCCTGCACCATCACACTGCTATCACCCTCTTGTTCCCATCCACTGCTTTTATCTGCAGATGAACCAGGTCTATAACAAACTACAGAGCTCCAGGGATCCAGTCATTGCCCAGCCTTATTTAGAGCATGACAACATTAATTCTGAACACTCCAGGAAAGCAGCATGCTGCAAAGTCACAGCAGCAGGTCATTCCTTGGGACACTAATTCAGACACACAACTGAAGACACACAGACACCAGGGATTGTCATTTAGTAGGAAAAAGAGGCCTCAAAACTGCTTTTTTTTTCCTTCTCCCCTTTCCTCCGCTCTTCCTCAGGCAGCCCAAAGAGGTGCTGGAGTCCCCAGGCCTGGAAGGGTTAAAAACCTGCAGAGGTAGCAGTTGGGGACATGGTTTAGTGGCCATGGGAATGTTGGGTTGGCCACTTATCTGAATCTATCTCTTCATTGTCCTGTAGCTGCAGAAGCCTCTGGGAGAAGTGGCAACTCAGTTTACACAGAGATTAGTCACATAAAGACTAATTAGACCTGATATAGAGCCATCCAAGTGAAGCTTAATGACCAGCATGATACAGGTGAGACAAGCCACCCACGAGTTGCTCCATGGTGTACAGAATGGCAAGCCAGAAAAAATTCATCAGATAAAGCCCTCAAATTAACAGGCAACACAACCAAACGATTAAACAGATGTCTGGAAGATGGCCATGGGTTTAGTTTGTCTTTTAAACTGCATGTTCTTGAGTTTACAGAATGCTTTGGGCTGGAAGGGACTTCTAAAGGTCATTGAGCCCAACCCCCTGCAGGGAGCAGGGACATCCCCAACTAGAGCAGGGTGCTCAGAGCCCCGGCCAACCTCACCTGGGATGGTGCCAGGGATGGGGCAGTGACCACCTCTCTGGGCAGCCTGGGCCAGGGGCTCAACACCCACAGCTTCTCTCTAGTCTAAATCTTTCTCTTTGAGGTTCAAACCATCCCCCCCTTGTCCTGTCCCAACAGGCCCTGAGAAGAAGTCCCCCCCCCATCTTTCTGGCAGCCCTGGCAGCCCCCAGCAGGTCTCCCCAGCTGGAGCCTTCTCCTCTGGGGCTGCCCCAGCCCAACTCTCTCCTGCTGGGCTCCCAGCAGAGGGGTTCCCCCCTCGGGGCATTGCTGGGGCTCCTCTGGCCCCGCTCCAGCAGGTCCCTGGCTCTGCTGTGCTGAGGACTCCAGAGCTGCCCCAGCACTGCAGGGGGGTCTCCCAGAGCTGGCAGAGGGGCAGGGTCCCCTCCCTCTGCCCGAGTTTCTGACTCGGCCTCCCAGCCAACACTCTTCTGCAGACAGGAGGTTTTGTGAAAAATCTGTGAAGTCTGTCAGAGTCCAGACTTCTCAGGACCCAACATTACATCCCCCAGGTGGAGATCAGCTCCTTTAACAAAGCTTTGCAAAATCCACACTCACAGAATCACTAAGGCTGGAAAAGACCTCTAAGATCATCAAGTCCAACCATCAAAGCACTAAATCCAACATCCAAGCACTAAATCACATCCTCAAGTGCCATGTCCACACATTTTTGGAACCCCTCCAGGGCTGGGGACTCCAGCACCTCCCTGGGCAGCCTGGGCCAATCCTCACCACTCTGCCAGGAAAGAAATTCTTCCTAATAATAATTAGGAAGTAATAATTTCAATCTTCTCAGGGCAAAAACATTTTTCCTTGAGAAATTTGGACAATTCCTTTCTTTCCTTTGCTTATCTCAGCACACTCTCTTCAGTTACAGCAGATAAGCAAATCCAGCAGGGTAACACCTGGGCTGGCAACTTTGAGGCACCCCAAGGAGACACAGTTTGAGCTCCTTCATCCTGCACCAACGTGGAGAGAGCTCCACCTGCTGCACCCTCTCACACCAGTGGTAAATCCCACCTCACAGGCAGCATCCAGCACCTCCCACCTTCCTGCTAACCTAACCTGTGGAATTCAACCAGAAAAAAGAGTCAAAATGCAGCTCAGCTGCCCCAGGGAGGTGCTTTTGCCTCGTGCAGCTTATCCCACCAGGGTTTGGTGACAGATAAGGCAACCATGTCTAAAAACCAGCAGTGCTGCAGGTGGTTTTTTCCTGTTCTCAGCAGAACAAGTCCAGGCATGACCTTGCTGAAAACACCCGTGCTGCTCCAAGTGACCTTTCAAAGGAAACACAAAATTTACCTCTTGTGATCATCAGCTCCTGTCATTATCTGACTTGGGCAAGTCTTGAACAGTTTTAAAAGGGCAATTCCCTGAGGAGGAGCATAAAAAGAAGCTGCTGCCCCAGGCACCAGATGTTAAAAGGAAAAGGTGAGAGCAACCAACCACTTCTCTAGGTCAAGAGTCTGTTGGATGAGGAAGGTCACCCTCACCACCTGAAATTCTGTGAAGGACTTTAGACTGACAGCAATCAGTAGATGAAAGTAGAAATTCAATTAAAAATTATATAAAAAAAAATAAGAGTCAAAAAGCCACCACTGAAAAGAGGCTTTAAAGTTATTAAATTATCCTAAGTGTAAAGTTTTAACTAAGCTGCTCCAAAACATGACTTAAGCTTTTTGAGAATTCAGACCTTTAAAACATTTGGGCTTCAATTTAGTTGCAACTTTGTAGGCTTAAAAAGCAAAGAAGTTCTCCCAAGTCTCAGGGCTCCTGATTTACCTAAGCCAGGACACAAGTCAAGCTCAGGAGATCATGAATTTCCAGGAGTTCTGTTCCTCCAGGACACACCTCACTCACTCTTACCAAAAGCTCAGCTG